ACTAAGTACAAGTCAAGGAAGAAGCAGGAAATTCACTAAGCATGTTGCACAGAGTTCAGATAAGCAATTAAGATACGTAGACATGCTGTTCTAAACTAAACATGTAATTACATATGCTATCGTAGCTCAGTTAAAGGGAAAACAGGTTATTACTTAATGAAAACGGAGTTTTACAACAAATAGCTCATGTACGCACTCGTTACCTCACGTATACGACACTCATATATCAAAAAATAGTACCAAATCCTAAGAGGAGTTCCCTCGCATAAGGTTAGGCAAACCACTTACCTCGAACCAAGCTCAAATCAATTCGTAACAATGCTCTTTCCATGAATATCCGACTCCGAACGGCCCAAATCTAACAAAAATCAATTATATAACATAAAAATAACTACAAGAAACTAATCTATCTAATGAAATCAAAGCTAAAGCAAGAAATTAGAAAATCGCCCATAAAGCCTCCCCGGGCACACGTCTTGGAATCAGGTAAAAGTCACAAAATATGAACACCCATTCACTCACAAGTTCACTCGTACCAAAATTATCAGAATCCGACATCAAAATCCCAATCAAAACTCAAAAACTTAGTTCAAGAACTTCCACCCTTCTTCCCCAATTTCTCACCCAAATTCCTTAATTAAATAATGAAATCATTTATAGATTAATGGAATACAACCAAAAACGAGTTAGGAATCATTACCCAATAGCTTCCTCTGAAAATCCTTCAAATTATCGCCTAAATTCGAGCTCTCAAAGTCCCAAAATGAAAATGAGATCAAGCCCTCAAAAGTTTTCCTTTTCTGCGCAGTCAAACCGCACTTGCGATCCAACTTCCGCTTCTGCGATGTCACTATTGCAGCGAAGACTTCGCACCTGCGGAGTTCACTTAAACTCCCAGGCTTCGCATCTGCGCACAACCATCCGCATCTCCAGACACGCTTCTACGCTCAATCGTCCGCTTCTGCGGAACCTTGACCACCTCAGCTTCCTCACTTATTCCGCTTCTGCGATCGCACTTCCGCAGATGCGGATCCGCTTCTGCAGCTTACACGACGCACCTACGATCACTAGCCAACCTCACCATCCTCGCATCTGCGATCGCCCGCTCGCTTTTGCGAGCTCGCACCTGCGGTCAATCTTGTGCAGGTGCGATTACACCAGATGTAGCACACTTCAGCCATTTCTCCTAAAACTCAACTTGATCCATTAACCCTCGGGACCTCAAACAAATATACCAACAAATCTTAAAACACCATACGAACTTAGTCGAGCCCTTAAATCACATCAAACAATGCTAAAAACACGAATCACCATCCGATTCAAACTTAAAGAACTTGAAACTTTAAATTTCTACAACCGATGCTGAAACCTATCAAACCTCGTCCAATTGGCCCCAAATTTTGTACACAAGTCATATTCAACACTACGGACCTACTCCAACTTCCGTAATCAAAATCCGACCCCGATATAAAAAATTCCCCTACCGGTCCAAATCTCCAAAAATTCAACTTTCGCCATTGCAAGCCTAAGTAAGCTACGGACCTCCAAAACACAATCCGAATACGTCCCTAGGTCTAAAATTGCCCAACGGAGCTAACGGAATTGACGGAACTCCATTCTGGAGTCGTCTTCATACAGTTCCGACTACGATCCAAATTCTAAGACTTAGGCCTATGTTTCGGGACTAAGTGTCCTAAAACACTCCAAAAACCAAAACGAAACCTCCTGGCAAGTCATAATAGCAGAAATAGATGCAGAGAAAGTAGTTAACAGTGATCAGGGCTATAACTCTCAAAACGACCGGCCGGATCGTTACAACCTTGTAATAAGTTTTTTCTTTATTTTAATTATGTAATATAATTTAATTTTTTTCTTTTGCAAAAAATAAGGAAATCTAAAATTAAACGGCAAAGTCCAAAAAGAATAGGTGAGAACTAATTGTTACCAAAGTGGGTAATTTAGACGATACTCCTTCAATACTTAAGGATATTTAGGTTCTTAGACTCTAAGTCTTTTGCTTTGTAAATATATATGATATCAATTTTTTTCTCCAAACTAAAATCATTGTCGCCAACATCATAAATTTATTGTAATTGTTTTTAATAACAAAAATATACAAAAAAAGAATTTACATTTTCTGCAAGAAAAAATATTTTTTGAAAATTTGATATGTGAAAGAGAACTTGAGGGGAAATTTAATAGCGAGAGAAAAATGCTATAAAAAAGATAAGTTTGGCCAAAGGCATGAAATTTGAATATGGAGATATCAACTATTGATTAACATTGTGTTGAGAAATAGGTTGCAAGCTCAAACAGAAATAAAAGTTATAGACCTTTTGTCAATAATGATAATAGTTAATTAATTATAATTAATAAAAAGGTGTGTTTGAAAAGTTTATTATAATTATTAGATGAGGTAAATAATTAAGATTATCTTATATTAATTATAGTATTGTATTAATATTTAGATTCTATCTGATAGTGAATTTTGGATTCAACTAGAGTTGTGTTCCTTGAACTTTTACATATGTTGGTATTTGTTGATATTCGTACACGCGCAAAGCACGTACCGTAAGACTAGAAAGAATTATCTTAAAAAACTTTCTATTTTTGCTTTTGCTATAAATAAATATAATTCAAATTTTTTCCAACCAGATGCCATTATTTTTTTTTATTGTTCTAAGAGAAAATTCAACCCAAGAGCTACTTTTCAATTTTTTTTAAAATTGGAAAGTTTTCTACTATTAGTGTTCGATTGATATAATTTATTGGAATAATTGAAAAATTATTTTTAAAATCCTTGAATACTTTTTGAAAACAAACGCCATCTAATATTCATCCGTCTTCATAGGAGAAATTGACATTGGGTGACAATATATAATAGAAATTGGCATTGTACTATAACCAAATCTCAAAAAACTTACTTCCCTATAAATTCTCTTCCCTATTTTATCCCATGCAATTCAAAAATTTGCCACCCTAATTTACACTCAACCATGGTAACTTCCATTTTCACTTGAATCAAACCTCAAATGGAACCTTTTGTTATATACTCCAAACCTAATACTACATTATACATGTCGTTTACTCCATTATCAAAAGCCTGAAGCCTTACACTCTCCAACAAACCCTCCAACCTGAACGCCAAATCCTTCTTCAATAATGATAGAATCATATTTCCTACTACTCTAAAACTATATATCCTACCGAGTGCAACTGTGTTGTACTCCGTTTCATGTTTCTTTTATTTTTAATAAAAAATAGTTTTAATTTTCACCTTGTATATCAATGTATCTCTAGCATATATATTTACAAGAAATTATGTGTTATACACTGAAATATACAAAGAATTTTTTTTTACAATACAATAAGAAAAATAAATTTTTGATATACAAAGAAGAAAAATAAACTTGTGATATACATTTTAGTATACACATCATTTGATGTGTTATACGCTACAATGTACAAGTAGTACAATATTTTTATTGTTATACAAAAAAGGAAAATAAAATTTTAATATACATTTTGATATATACAAAGAAGTAAAATAAAATTGCGATATACATCTTGATATATACATTAATATTGTGATTTACATTAATTGGCTACCTGATGCCAATATCTATAACTAGGTTTTTTTTCCTGCTAATTATCTGAGTATTTTGTCATGCCAAAATCCCTTTTTTTTATTTGTTTGATTAGTTCTTTATAACTTGTTTAACTATCAAATTAAAATAATTTAAGATTTTTCTTTTTGTTTATTATGGCTATATCAAAAAAAACTCAAAGCAAAAGAACTTCTGTTTCGACAATTTTTTGTAAAAATAGCACGGTATAGCCAGTTTTCGGACTGGTCATTCAAAAATAGCCAGCGTTTACGAAGTCAATGAAAAATAGCCACTATTTTACTGCAACAGAGACCGGTCCAACATAATATACTGGAGTTCGATGCACCTGTGTATGAACTCCAGCATATTATGCTGGACCGGTATACTTTGCTGACTCTAGTATATTATACTGGACAATTATACTTGCTGGAACTCCAGTATATTATGCTGGAGTTCTAGTGTACTTAAGCTGGAACTCCAGTATAATATACTGGCGTATTTTCCGGGTTTTGAACAGTATTTTCGCTCAAATTTATCTTTATATGAAAAGTGACTAAATTTCGATTACTTTTGAAACTAGGCTATTTTTGAACGACCAGTTGTAAATCTGGCTATTTTTGAATTTCTCCCCAATTTTTTGTATATATCACTTTGGGCTACGTATGCAGTTCAAATTGAACCAAACTTTTAAATGGCTAAGTTGGATCGTGCCCAAATGACCTGCCAATAACGTGGAGCCCAACCCGGCCTGGTCAGAGTATATTATCATGGGTTGAATTTGACGCCCCTATCGGTAACCAGCATACAAGAAGAATTAACCCAAATAGTCGTCCATCCAACCACTTAAACTAAAAATAGCCGGTGGAAGTATAATATATGCATAATTGATATTTTATATATGTATAATTGTGTATAATCAACTTATAATCTTTGTATATGACTAAAAAAGTAAACAATGAATATAACCGGCTATTTGTGTAAGAATATGTGCAACTTCTTGCAGAACAGTAATTTAACTGGCCATGTACTATGAAACACAACTGTTTGGTTCTTTTCTTAGTAGGACTATTCCTGGGAATCTATAGATGTCACAAACCCTGAAATAAGGAGGTTGCCCTTGTATCCTAGAGCACTGAGAAGTATAGAATATTTGAATTAGCGATTACTATCCTTTTCCAATTAACGTTATTTAACGATTGGACCTCCAGAGAGCACTCACCGACACTTGAGTATTCAAATGGTTACCTATGCAACTCAGCGAAATTAAATATGTCGGACCTGTCATTACGTTGTGTTCTTTTCTTATCTAAAAATGAATTATATAAGATCGTCTTCGACTATGAAAATTGCAGTTATTGTAACTCGGGGGTAACTGAAATACAAGGCATAAGGTTCACTTTTTTCTGTTCTGAATTATTAAAGCTAAAAACTGTCAGATTACATGGTTCTTGAGACTATACAAACGGAATTAGTCTCTGGTACATTACACGAAATGAAAGCATATCCTTGCAATAAACATTAATCTAGATCCAAATGAAATAAAATAAAAAGTAAGGAAACACTATAGAACATCTTTACATAATTTCTGCTTTCACCTCTCTAGTCTTCCTTTGTTAAGGGAAAAAAGAGGTGGTAGTGCATTATTTTTAGCCTGTGTGCAAATTGGCACATTAATCAAAGGTCTTACACTAATAGTTGCTGATCTAGATCTCTCCAACCTTTTCTTAATCTTGTTCACATGCTTCTCTTTGCTTTCATCTGTTGTAGAAATTTCAGAATTCGAGCTCGAAGAAGAGGAAGGTGATAAAGAGGAAGGTCTTTGCTTTTGCTTTTTCAATCTCAATAACTCTTTCCATAAAACGTTACATGTTGGTGGCCTAGGAGATGGATCCTCATCAATAAACCAATTTGTTGGCCTATTCATCTCTTCTTTACCTTTCACCTCTGTTTCAGTCATTATTTCTTCTGTTTTGAGACTAATCTTGTTGAGTTTTTCAGAATGGTATATTTGCCAATACGGAAGTAACTTACCTTCAAAAATTAGCTCATCGGCCGTGGTCATGTTTCCGCTTGTAAAATTGCTGGATAGGAACTCAAATTCTGCTGCATTAAGCTCTTTTTCGCATTTTTTCTCTACTTGAGAATTTGGACTTGTGGATATGAAGTTTTTCTCATCAAGAAAGTCTGCAGAGAACGAAATCCGGGGACTCGATTTCGGTTCAACAGATGTAGTGGCAGTTTCTAAGGACACCATATTTGATCTATCAGTAAAGAGAAAATGGAGTTGGCTAAAGGGGAGGAAACTGGGAGTGTAGTGTGTTGTTGAACTATATATTGAACTCTTTTTAAGGGTATATGTAGGCGTAGTAGTAAATATTTGGACGGTGAGAATATTTAAACTAAGTGGTCTGGTGAAGGAGAAACAAATATAATGAGCTATTGATGTATTTTAAAAATATGGGAACAGCACATGGACAACTTTTGGAACTGAAAGAGAGCTGTTCTCAACGTGGAATCTCATTGTCTTTAAAGGATTCAATTAACAAATTGCGTACATACAAAGACAATAAGTAGATACCAGCTCTCTCTTCCAAGTTAATTGTTGGTTGTCCCCTTTTCAATTGGAGTAATAAACATTTCTCATTTGTTAGTAGCGTGGCGTAAAAGTTAATGAAAAAAATGCTAAGTAGTAAGTATTTTTTTTTCCTCATATGTTTAAGCGTTGGTGACAAAAATATATATTTTGTACTGGTTGATATCCGATAGAATAGCCGAGATGTGCTTAAGCTGACTTGGATTGCACCCTTTTTTTAAAAAAGTTACTAGTATATAGTAGTTAGTAGTGACAATTAGTCACAGAAACAAACGCTTTGATTAGCAGTTTGACCATACATATATAACTCTAGCAGAGATCATAATGACTTGGGAGAAGTCCCAGGCATCATGTGGTCACATGAGACTAATTTGTAGACCATGTGATCCTGCACTTCCCAACAAAATCAAACAGAACATGCAGATCTTGGCTCTTCACAGAACTTCCCTTTAAAAGGGCTTCGTGTTATAATAAGCTGGTTTCTGGTGTAATTTGTCTCACCTGGGAAGGGATAGTTGGAAAAAATATCTACCCGTAGTCGATAATTTGCGGGGCGGGGTGGGTTAAAAATTAAAAAAACTACTATGCGGGACGAGTTGAAATTTTGCTGGTTAACTCAAATCAGCCACGCATACGTCCTGCCCAATTGCCATTCCTATAATAGATGCAGGGCATATGTTAAGAACTTCTATTGCTTAAGCATTGTTAATTACATGTAGTCTCACATCATTTACCTTAACATGGTTTGATATAATTATCAAGTGAGAGTAAATTTTATTGAGGTAATAATGTCCCTTAGCAGTGTTTACAATGTGGTAGATATCATGTCCTGTTCCTGGGAAAGCTTTCATAGGTGTTATGACAAATTTTACTTCTGTTTTTAATGGGACAGAGTATCTTGCACAATGCACATAATGGCTCTACTTAATACTTGATTATAATTATAGAGTTTTAACAACGGTCCTATCATCGAATATACAGAATATGACCTAGGGAAACGAAAAGAACATGGTGACTTACTAAATTTATAGTGTAGTCCAAATAATTGATTTGTTATATGAGAGTTCGTTACGAAAAGTATTTTGTACTCTTGACTGAAACAACGTCTTATTCAGGTTATTTATCTGTATAAATAATTTTCAGAGGAAAATGTTCCCCTCACTTAAAAAATAGGATAAATTACAATAAACAACCCGATAATATGCGTTTACCCTCAAAATCGGATAACAATTGAATTTGTAAGTGATTTTAAGGATACGTGGACTAATTTGACACAAAGCGGTAAAGTAAACTGCAATTGAAATGATCAATGATAAAGTAAATTCTAACCACACAAATTGAACAATTATAGTCTTGGGAGGTTAACTGGATGCACTTCGATCGATATCAAGACACATCTAAAATAAGAGCTCTAAAGAGAAAATAATATATTGCTTTAGAATGCGTGTTATATCATGTCCTTTACAAGTAATCAGACCCCCTTTATATAGTAGGGGAGTCCTACTTTAGGTACAATTCTATAAAAGGTAAAAATCTCCTGATTTGTTGATTTGTCGGTTCCTTATTGATACGTGCCGAGATTCCCGCCGCAATATCCGACGGGTCACGAATATTTCGGCCTTCTGTTATTTCGGTCTTCTGTTGGTTACACTGATAACGTTTCCTTGAGCTCTTTCGGGTCAGGGTCGATTCCGGGATCACCGATTCAATGTTCTTGAGGATGGACACTCTGATCTCGGGTTATGGCCCAGTGGGACCAGGGGTAGATCTTCAGTCCCTAATATTCCAAACCCGATCTATCATGCCGCAGACGAGCCCGGTTTCTACCCTATACATATAGTTCCCTCATTTTTCAGAGAGTAGACGACGAGAAACGACATGAGCTCCCGATTCTCACCTCGATATCATCCGATAGAAAAGACAAAATAAACGAAATGCCGCGTCAGTCAAGTCGTAATGGCCTTAAATCCTCGTCAGTTGCCGGTCGGCCACTCATGGATGCGAACCGTCATTTGAAAACTATAAGTACCCCTTTTTCATTCATTCAAATTTTACTTCCAAACTCTCTACCCTTGCTCCTTAGAAATTTCTCTATTTTCTAGCACTTATACTCTAATTTTTTTAGATCTTTTGTGAAGATTTTCGCTCGTCTTTATCCCAAATCATCAAGCGTACTGCTCTAACTACCTTTTCTTCTTTTCTCCTCAATTTTAAAAAGAAACGGCAAAGACTTTAAAATTCCCCAAAAAGAAACTATTTCTACATCACGGCTGGCCGCCGAGGAGACCGTTCCACGTACTGCTATTGAGGAACCAGCGGCGGAACCCCCTCTGAGCACGTTCATCCCTGTGGGTGCTCGGTAACCCGCCAATTTTAAGGTTGAAAAACCTTTATCCGTACCGGGCCGCTGTGAGAAGGTCTCGAGGTACATCTGCTCGATCACAGAAGATATTCTCCCTGCGGTCAAAAAAGATGCAACTGGGCTGACAAGGACGTGGTAGTTCCCGGGCCTGATGAAGATATCACCACCCACGTCGAGGGATACTTAAGTGTTTACACTTATCCCTTTACGCTGGGGCCATTGGACCCGGTCATCATCGACTTCTGCAAAAGGTACGAGGTGTGCCTGGGTCAGATTTACCCTTCGTTCTGGAGGATCATCATCCTTCTCCTGTTCTTCGTGAGCAAGATCGATGGATGCTCGTTCACTGTCGACCATCTTATGCGCCTATACAGTTCCCGACTCTTGGGGAGGGGGGACTGATCAAGCTTGCACGTCGGGCTAGTAAAGCCCCATTCTCGAGCATCGATGAAGATCGGGATCAAGGCTGGCTAGGCCGTTTTGTCCGAATGAGAACCTCGGACCTGATCCCAGTAGAGTACATGCCTTTCCACGAGAAGTGGAACACAAAACGTAAGTTTGTTTTTCCAAAATTTTATTTTATTCTCTTTTCCTTCTTTCTTATCGGTGCTTAGTGGTGGTGCAACTGTTTCTCGGGTCCCGAATGCAGTTCTTCGACTCAAGGAGTGGGTCGAGGGCATTGTGTCACAAAAGGCATATTCCGAGCGTGATGGTGCGAACTTTCGAAGGGTCGGTGGGAGGCCCGTTCTCATGGTGAGATTCCTTTCCTAAGTGAGTAATATTTGGGTCTTTTTATGTTGCTGGGTTCATATTTGTTTCGTTTCCCTTTGTTGGTTTATCTAAGGATATCGCAAAGAGGCCTTCATGTGGTGATGAGGATTGTCCCGCCGAGTCCCTTTCTCCGAGACAGGGTGAGGAGAAGAAGAGAAAAAGGGCTCTGAGTTCTTCGAACTCGGAGAAGAAAAAACTGAGGAGGAGGCTGGTGTACAAATCCAAAGAAAGAACCTATGCCTGCGTGCCCTCATCGGACTCACTCCACCGGCTGAGGGACGAGTCCGAAGAAGAAGAAGAGCTTCATCTGGTGGCTCGAGAGCCGTCACAACTTGAGGGGCAAGGGGCCTCCGAACCAGTAAGAGGCGAAACTAAATTCCTCAACTCAAGGAGGTCGATGAGGAGGTCGTGACCGAGGCTTCCGAACCAGAAGGAGGCGAGGCCGTTTTGCCTCTAGTTAGGGAGGCCGACGAGGAGGCCATGGCCGATGCTTCACTGGCAGTGGGCAATGCCCCGAAAGATGCACTCGGTGTGATAGACCTCTCCGAGTTGCCTTCATTCACTGAGTCCATGATTAACGAGGCTCAGATGCTGAAAGGACGCCCCAGCGAGGGGTCCCAAGGGGTAGCATACCCCTTTCACAGTTTTTTTGACAGCGTAGACTCTACCGCCACAGAGGACGTCACCAGGTTGGGTGACTTACCGGTGCCAAGGAAGAGCCCATCTTTGGGAACAAGCAGGCCTTCCTCAAGTCCGAAACTAGTAAACCAGTTTTTAGCTTCGAGTGCGAATCCTGACCAGAAGCGGTCTGTAATCATGTCCATTCCGGAAGATGCCCAGGTTCTCTCTGCCCCGTAGGGGCGGCCAGTTACCTTCGGTGCTTGGTGACCGAGGAGGACCAAGCCAAGATGAACGAGGTGGACGCGCCCTGCCTGTTCAACGAAGCACAATAGGCGTTAAATCGGATAACTTTATATGCCTATCGATGACTTCTATTCTTTCCTTAGATTAAATTGTAGATAACCATAACTTTTTTCTTTGCGTTTGTAGGTCTCGGTGCTTCATCACGAGACTTTTCTTCAATATCGGGAAGTGATAAACTAGTATGAGGCCAAGATTCGAGGGCTCACTGAGAAGAGGGATGCTTACAAGCTTTTCAGCGAGCAACGTGAGGGGGAGGTTAAGAACCTCCGAGCTAAGCTAGAGGCGGCTCGGAAGGAGCACGCCGACCTCGTGAAAAAGGTAAAAGTCTTTGAGGTTATCATACCTCTGATTAGAAAACTCTTATCATACCTCTGATTAGAAAAGAGAATAAACACTTTTAAAAACATTGTATCTTTCAACGTTGTTAAATTGGAAATGACCACAAATTACATAATAAGATATTATGTATATACATTTTTGCATTCTGAACATGTTCAAGTTAGCTATTTGTATCTTATTAAAAAAACTGTAATATCTAATATATAGGAATTTCTCATTTTTTTAATTTTATTTTGATTTTATAGTTCTACTTCAAATATTTTAAGTTTATTCAGTTAGATAAATTTTCCTTTTTGTAAGATTTTATTATATGAGGAGTTTAAGTGTTTGATTTGAAAATTAAAGATAACATCATTATACTCAAGTAGGATTTTCATAATATAACGGGTGTAACTGTATGATTTTGATACAGAAAAATGTATCTGCAGT